GTGCATGAGGTGGAGAGTTTTCACCTCAATTGAATAATGAAAGGGTTAAACATCTTTGGTCTTTCTATTTGTTTTATTACCTGTGTTCTGTTTAAATTTCTACTGTGCATAAATTAAGTAAGTTTCCAGGAGCTATAATTTTATCTCTTTTAACTTATGTACTTGCTACAAATTATACAGAAAACTCCCCCTCCTAAGAAAGCTAAGGCAGACAAGAAACCATCTGCTTCTAACCGTGCCACGGCAAGTTCTAATCAAGATAATGATTCAAACATGTTTCAGGTAAGGTGAATTACCCACTGCTTATAAATGTACACTGGATAATTAATCACAAAATCATACATCAAGTATTTTGCAAGCCACTAAGTAAATTGAAAAAACTTTGCATTTTACAAGTAAAATAATTTTTACTGTTTAAGTACAATAAATCATGTGTGAGTACATCTTTTTCTTTGTGATGTAATTGAAAGTAAATTATTAATATATATTGCTTAATGATCTCAAAAAGTTGAGTAAATTAGATATAAAGTATACTCGTATTTTCTCTATAAATGTTACATTATTTGCATAAAAAGTATGAGCTACATAGTTTTATACATACTGTAATAATATAGTTTAAACAAATATGTAGTGTTATATATAAAGATATTGAAATTAATAGTTGCACAGAATGTTAAATATATACAATATTTCACTGTTATTTTTATAAAATCAGTTTACATGCTTAGTTATTTGCACAATTAGTTGCATTTTTTTTAATACAGATCTTTGGTACAGATATTTGATCCAGTATATTATTCATTTTGTTTACAATATTTTAGTAATATTACAACACATTTTATTTTAGTTTTGGAAATGTACAGATTTTACAAACCTTTTTCAAACTTTGCAGAAATGTTCAGAGTATATTAAGTTTGAGAAATGTCCTAGAATTGTGTTATTCTAAATATTGTTTTGATATTGTTAAAATATTTTGATTTCAGAAGCAAATTTTAAAGAAAAAGCATTATTATTTTTTAGATTTTAATTTTAGGTATCCTGATATGTTTTAAATCTTGCTCTTGGTGATGATTATAAATCCCAGTATGAAGAAATTTTGAGGAATGTAAAAAAATTCTGCAGCTGAATTTTATATGAACGCTTGTATAACAAGGTAATTCCTGTGAAGTTTGCCAAAAGTGTAATAACTAAGTTAGGTCCCTATTTTGGAAAAATGATTATTTTATAATTCAACAGAGCTTTCAATTAAAAGAAGTATTTTATTCTGTTTTTCACTTCTTTTTGTGCAGCTTTCCAAAATGCGTTTTGTTAATGTGAGAGAATTTCGTGGGAAGGTAATGGTTGATATTAGAGAGTATTATGAAGCAGATGGTGACATTAGACCTGGTAAAAAAGGTAAAGAATTGATTTAAGTGTTTAATATCATTCTGAAAAATTGCTGTCCACATTGTGTGAAGAGTACCTATCCTGTTTATTTCCATAGATATAAAATAAATAGTTTTATCATTTTATTTTCCATGGATGTATTATCCTAATATATTAAGCTGACTTTTGATGGTTGAAAAGAAAACCAGGAGTCTCTAAACTTGCTGCAGCTTTTGAGGCCAAACATGCCATGCCACTTTGAGTTTGGAGAAGCTTGTATCAGCTGAAAAGAGGCATTGCAGTCTGTTATCACATGATGATGCATTTGGTTCCAAAATAATGCATGCTTTTAATTACTTTTTCACATTTAAGTAAAGTGAAGACATTGTTTTTTAATCTGTTGGAAAATTGAATGCTTTGTATAGGGTGTGGCATGCCAGAGAATGAGGAATTATTGATTATTCTAATTACAGGTTTATACATGGTGTGAAGCTATAATATCTAGACTTTATAGCAGAAAAATCAAGAAGGCTATAAATGAAACCCATTGATTCTTATAAGGATGGAAATAGCAGATTAATAAATTAGAAATATCATGGTTGATAAATAAATGTAGCATGGTTGATAAATAAATGTAGCATGGTTGATAAATAAATATATGTAGCATGGTTGATAAATAAATAAATGTAGCATGGTTGATAAATAAATACATGTAGCATGGTTGATAAATAAGAAAAGTTTTGTTGATGCACTAGTTAAAAGCCTGATCACTGAAACTATTTCAAAAGTTATGAATCATGGGTTTGTGTGCTATATAGAGGCATGAGTTAGAAATGAGACTGATTTTGTTCAAATCAGCAGCCTATTGTGAAATTTTAGATGTGTGTATTTTTAGTCTTTTGTAATTATTGCAGTCAGAAATGATACTGACACTGATGTTTTTTAAGATACAAATAAATTTAATTGTCCTTTTATTTGGAGTATTGTAAGGAAAGACAAGTTGTGCATCAGGTACACATACATGAGAAACATTTTCTGTCTCACACATAGTTTCTGTCCATTTAAAGATGCAAAAATTTTTATATCCCTTTTTAAAGGTAAAACAAAATTTTAACTAGTGTCACTGTCTGAAGTGGTAGTTATGAAAAATTACAATTCATTATTTTTTGAAATGATAAAGAATAAAATATTTAGTAAAACTTTTTTCTTTTTTTAATCACCATTTGGCATTCTCACTGCTATTTGTTGATTTGAAGCCTGATCTTTTTAAATATGTAGAAATGTGTATGTCCTGCACAACAAAGAGCTATGACATCTCACCACTGTCAGGAACATTTTTGCAAGCATCACAAGCCTTGAACATGTGCAGTAATCCCCATGAACACTAGCATTTGAATAAAGGCTCATTCTTTCCTCAGTACTGCTTGTCTCCAGTTGTTGTCTTTGTTTTCCTTTTGTTCTTTAGCTTTCAGTTAAATTTGATTTCCTCACTCACCTTGTTTTTACTCAAGTATTTTTACTGTCAACTCAGTATGAAAAAAATAAGTCACTTCTTGAACCATCATTAAGCACAGAAGTACATAATAGTGTGATGAAATAAAAATGGCAGCCATAAAAATTGCCCATTTGAAACCACCTTTGAAATGTCTGAACAGTAACAATGACTATTTCAAAGTATTGGCTGAGCAAAAGTAAAGACTGTTTGAATGAATTTCCATCTAAGTAAGAAGTGACTTTTCCAGATAAGCATACAGAAAAAATGGCAAACCTTATTGCTCTAAGTCTTTCAGAACTTTTCTGTCTGGGGTCCCAGTGATTCTTTTCTTGTACCATAAGGATACTAGTGTTTGTGTATATATATATGTATATACAAGTAAATAAACAGCTTACAAACTAATGAATACATTAATTGTTAATAGGCAATTAAATCAGCATTATAAAACAATAATGAAATAAATATCGCTATACCTTTAATGGTTCTGGTTGTCAACAGATAATGTCTGTGGTAATAGCACCCAAATGTGTTGGGGTTAACACATCTATCAGACAAAATCCAAACGCCGATGTCAATCTAGTCAGCTGGCATGGAAAATAATAACAAAATCAGTCAAATATGGGTATGAAGCTGAGTGCTTACACCCAAAACATCTCAGCTTCTACTGCCTTTCCTTAACTATAGCCAGTAGTGGGAAGGCAGTTACCCTTAAATTTCTTAAAGTAGAGATGAATTGAAATAGAGCCACCCTAATATTTGTACTAATTAAACTTCCAACCTCCACCCTACAAAAAAATATTAAAATGAACTATAAGATATTAAGTAGAACTATATACCCTACCTTAAAAGTTCTTATATAGTTCTAACTCCCAACCTCCTCCTTTTCTCCTGAAGATTTATTCAAGGATAACACGGGAATGCCGAGACGAGCTCAGCAACTTGAAATTTTTCCATCCTGATTATACTGAGTAAAATTACTTGAAAAATTACTGATAGCTATTTATAAGCTAAAGTAACTAACTCCCTCTTGATTTTTTATAAGATATTTTCTTTAATCGATAGTTTATTTTCTGAAATATTTTTATATCTATTTAAAAAAATAATATATATATATATATATAGAAAATGGACGATGTGCTACTTTGGGAATATAATTAGATTTGAGGGTATATTGGTAGAGGTCCTGATGAGTAATATAATTGGGTATATGTGTGCCCCACCCTTAGTATTGTTGGTGCACAAGAATATAGCTAATACAAAGGAAATTAACAAGTATAATAAAAAAAATTTTAAATTTTATAAAGACAAGTAGGATCGATACATACATAACCTAGCAAGCTATAGTAATATAGAAAGTTTTAACGCTGCAAAAAGTATTGAAACAAGAAAGTCAAAACTACAAAAACTGAGTTACTTAAAATTGAAAAAAAATTATTCCTACTTTGACTCGGACTAACTTTATTACAGCGATCTGCCAAAGTAGGGACAAAATTGTTTACATTTTAAGTAACTCAGTTTTTGTAGTTTTGACTTTCTTGTTTC